ACTCTATCAGTGTGATTTAGAGTGGCAGAGAACAGTGTTCAGGGCATACGAAACAATAAATAATGAACATTCATCACTGGCAAGCTGGTGCAATGATTTGTTTTTTTTGTAGACACGGAGATTCACGATGCCAGTTTAACATCACATCCCCCACCTTTCAATAGCCAGAAGCCAGGCGTGCAGAGGCAATCATGCATTGAACCATGTGCAAACACCTTAGCCAGCGCTGATGGATGTATAGTCAGGACACTGGACGTGTCTATGCACAGTGAATGCCACTTAGGCAGAAACGGAGTGTAGATGGATTTGGTCTGAGCTACACAAACAAAAGTTTACTAAGAAGAGCAAGGTGCTGCACTGTGCATGTGACAGCTTGGAAAGTCACACACACTTCAGGGCTTCAGCTGACTCTTTTTGCACTTCTGCGATGAGCAGTACAAAGCTGCGCTCATGTTCATGAAACTCTAAGCTACCATGAGTGTCCTATCAGGCTTCACTAACATCTCCAAGACTCCAGAAATCATGGAATTGTCAGAGGTGGAAGGGACCTCTAGAGATCATCTAGTCCTACTCCCCCAGCTAAAGCAGGATCCCCTAGAGCACATTACTCAGGGACGCATCCAGGTGGGTCTTGAATGTCTCCAGAGAATGGGACTTGAGAACCTCCCTGGGCAGCCTGTTCCAGTGCTCCATCACCCTCACTGTAAAGAAGCTTCTCATATTTAAATGGAACTTCCCATGTTCCAGCTTGTGCCCATTGCCTGTTGTCCTGTCACTGGGAACTACTGAAAAGTTTGGCTCCATCCTCTTTGCACCCACCTTTTAGATACTTACAGGCATTAATAAGGTCTCCCGTCAGCCTTTTCATCTCCAGGCTAAAGAGTCCCAGCTCTCTCAGCCTTTCCTCATAAGAGAGATGCTCCAAACCCCCAGTCATCTTTGTTGCCCTCCACTGGACTCTTTCTAGGGGTTCCCTGTCACTCTTGATCCGAGAAGCCCAGAACTGGATGCAGTATTCCAGCTGTGGCCTCACCAGGGCAGGCAAGGGGGAGAATGACCTCTATCGACCTACTGGCCACACTCTTCCCTATCCACCCCAAGATTCCATTTGCCTTCTTGGCAACAAGGGCTTAGGTGAATAATACCAGGGACATACTATGCTATTTACTAGCAGCTGAAGGAGAAAGGATGCCACGAAGTCTGTCTTGACTGGGATGGAAATCATTAAGTTTCTATCAGGGATCATTAAGCAAGGCCTTTGTTTTGTTCTCTATTAACACATCATTCACAAAGCTGATGCAAAATTTTGCAATCACTTTATTTAAAATGGCTGAAGCCAACTTTGAAATTAAGTCCTCTGACATAAACAATTTTTCCTACACTTCCTGCTTCATTTTGTGGTAAGAATTTCTAGCTTTCTCTCTGCCTGTTATTTAGCTTTGGTTAAAACAAATGCTTTTTTTAAAAAATGGAAGATAAGCAAATTCAAAAATCTGATAAAAAATTAACTGGACTATTGAAAGAATATAAATTCTACCTGAAATGAAAATATTTATATTTTAAGTTATGAAAACAACCGATTCACTGCAAATAATGACTGAAATACATGATGTTAATTTTCACAGCAGCTGTGTAGAATTGGTATTTGAAACATCAGGCATTTAAAAAAGTTTATTTAGCATATTCAAAAAACAAATGTTACAAAAAATTTGCTATAAACATAGGCAAAAATGTTTAAATAGGATAATTTAATGTAAACCAAACCCCTTTAAAATATGCAATACTGTAATCAGGTTATTTACATCCAGTGAAGACAGAACAATCTCCACTAATGCTAAATATCACCTAAGCAATTAATTAATTTCCATAATTTTTTAAAACATCGACATTTACATTTAAGTTAGTTTTAGTACATAAACCATCTCAATCCTACTAGAAGGTGAAATTCAAACTTACATTCAGAAGAGGGAAAGGCAGTATCCTGACTATTCATGTTATCAGTCAAGACAGTACTGCATTCAGATTTGCAAAACCTTCAGAGGTACAACTATAACTTTACAATGCAATTACAGGAGAGATAAAACTACTAAGTGATTTGCAAAAAAAAGCTGTATAAAACCCAGTACAAGTGAAATTTTATTTTTCAATTTAATTAGAAAAGTCAGCCACAAGACTAAGCTATTTTCCCCACACCTGACAAAGCAGAACAAAATATTTTCTAATTTGACAGCATTACAACATGGAGAAAGCAGTTCATGTCTTTGAGGAAATACATTTGGATAGCTGTTGCATGCAAGTTTTGTTTTATTATGAAATTTATTAACCAAGACATAATTTTATAGCCTACAATGGTGTTCATGTTCTTGTACATGGAAAAGGCAAAGTCCAATAAATTCAACTCATCATTTTACATATTTGGTTATGGCTTTTTTGGAAAGACAAGCATCATTTTTGCATTGCATGTAAAAGTATCTATGGGATACAGCGACATATTCATCTTAAGAAACCAGTAACATAGAAGCATAAAAATAGAAATAAAGAAAAACAAAAATAAAAATAAAAAAAGAAAAGACAAACTCATTTCTAAACTAGACTGCCCATGCTCAGGGGATGATGACAGCTCCTTAATGACCTAATGCAAAGTGGGTGATCTCCATGCATTTCCTATAGGAAAATCCTCTATCCAAAGAAAAAATGTTACTGCTAAAACTGCCAGCTGTGCTGGCAGGCACAGGAGATGCCAATATGGCATGGACACTGAAATATCAGCTCTTTTTGAGGTGGTTCCTGCATGTTTAGATGAAGCACTTTGTTTTGGTAAGGTCTGCCTGAAGCAGTTTATTAACTATTGCTCAGTATAAAAGGAGCTTTAACTTCTACAACTGGCAATTTAGGACACACAAGAGGTAAAACCACTTCAAAAGAAAAGGTCAGACAGTCCAAAAGCTATACCCAGGCAATTCTTATTGGAAGCATCCAAAAGACATTGTACTTTTCTGCCCAACATCTATTATAGACAGTAAATCTGAGTTATTTTTTTGACAACAGTTTGGCCTGGAGTTCATCTATGAACTCTAAGACAACTTGCATTAGCAACTGAAGATTCCCAGTAGAAAAATTAGGCAAGCTATTCTTAACATAAAACTAGTAATAAAATCCTTACTTCATTTGTCAATCCTTTAGATCAAATTCTTTCAGAAGCATGCATATACACAGCCATGTACACCATACATTTCTTTTCAGCAGCTTTCTGTAAAATTCCTTAGGGCCAAGCCCTCATGAGATGGTAGACAGCAATACCCATCTTGCATATTAATAGTAATTTCAAATGCACTGGCACTTCATTGGTGTCTTTGGAACAAGAAGCAGTTTGGATTTTTGTTGTAAGAAAGCCAGCATAACACAGTAGTCCTCCAGGGCTATATAGATTTCAGTTAGTGCTAGATGATTAGTAGAACACAGAAAAATAGTGAAGTTAATGTCATGCTACTTTGGTGGGGGAGGAAAGAAAATGGAAATTATACTCACAAGCTGAACTGAGCAATAAAATTTTTAATCAAGCTGGGAAAAAAGAACCACCACACTACTGCTTGTACCAGGCTTAACCATCATAAGTCTCTAAACCAGGTGGCTGAAATTCTGTCCAAGCTTCTATTCAACTTGCACCAAAGTCTGACAGAGACCTACACCTCTCCACTCTCAAAACGTCACTCCAAACTAAGGCTTGGGCTATGTCTGTGCTGAGTTCTTAGAAATCCAACACGGTGAGTCCTCATGGTTCTGTCCTATGTAAGGTGGTCTCCACAGCTCAGCACTGCAGAGAGCAGAGCCTCACTGGCCACACAACTTCTGGAGCCAAGGATAGAGTGGGCTTTAAGAATTCATGTAATGGATCAAAGCACTACACTGCTCAGAGTTTTCTTTCATTGTAACATACTGTTAACTTTTCTAGCAGAAGCACTTGGTTGGAATGGATAAGCAATAAATATATTTGGTTTTGGAAAAAGGTATCCATGTTCTTCACAAAGGATTTCCACAGTCACCAGGATTTGAGGAAGGGATTTTGATTTCATAGTTGGGGGGGGGAAGAAAGTCACGCTTTCCCTTTTTTTTTGGCTTTTAAAAGGGAAAGTGATACCTTGGGGTTTATAGGTTTATGCATAACATCCTGGTCCCAGGCAAGACTATGATCAGGATTTTATCCACTCTTGGGTATTTCAGTATTTCATTATTTACCACTGCATGAATTTTCAAGTTCTAAAGTTAACACATGCATACTTCTCACCTACAGAATACACAAGTAAAAAAAGACAGGAAAACAGAGAGGAAAGGAGGAACACAGACAAAGTACACTATTAAATTTACTACTTTGTATCCTGAATTGCTAGCTTCTAAACACTTACAGAATTCTGAGCTGTAATAGCAAAAGCTTTAGAGTATACCTCTTCTGCTAGGATACTGAAATTATTGCTATTATGCCAGTATACTCTAATGAGACACTGGTTTGAACACAAAGGCATAAGGCTCCCAGCTTTCCAAGAGCACAGGATAGGGAGTAGCACATAACAAAAATCCAAGTGAGAAAAAGCAACCAAGCAGACAAGAGATAATACTGCAAAATCAGTCCCATTTTGTGTAAATAACTATCCAAAATGTTGCTTAAGGACTCTCCATTTCAGGCAATTCTGACAGTCTGCAGTAAGAAAGGGGAGAGGGATTCCACCAACCTTGTGGGGAATTTGGACAACATTCAGAATAAAACAAGTAACATCCTTCAAAGTGAAGGTATTTTTGAAAAGTAGGACAGAGCACCACAATTGTACCTGCATTACACTCTCAATACAGATTCCCTACCTTTTAAGACCTGCTGCAGGGGAAAAAAATCCCAAACCCAAAGAGCAAGTGAATCAAAACCAAAAGTGAAATTCATTGAACAAGTCCATTAAATCACAGAAATGCATAATAAGTGAAGATAAAGTGCTACAAAATGATTAGTAATTTTTAAGAAGTCCATAGCATTCTTCTTGCTTTACTTAGTACTGGTGACAACAGGAGATAGTGCAATTGCACTGGCTGAACTGGAATTCATAATGTCTTCGTATTGGGGGGGTGGATCTAAATGCTGTTCAGTTTCACTTCTTCTCAAACTGATTTCTCCAGTGGCTTCCTCATAGGAAGGAGGAGGATCACCATTGGAGAGCCTGGTGGATATTGAGTCTGATCGTCCATCCATATAGCTTAGACCTCCTGGAGAGAGCCCACTGACTTCATACATTTCCTCCTGTGGGGAATGAACAATGCTGAGAGGCAGCGGAAGGGGACCTCTGCCATCAGCCACAGCACCATCACCCATTGCTTCGTGGGCTCCCCTATGCGCGTACACCGACTGTCTACGCATTTTCTTTTTAAACAGGCATCTCCATATGACAAAAATGACAATGAGGATAACAAAAAGGCCAATGATTAATGGAAATGCAAGGTAAAATGAATACCAGTTATGTCCTGTGTTACTTTCTCCCTGAAGTCCATTTTTGTAGACTTTCCAGAACTCCTTCTAGAAGAGCAAGATAGGATAAGTCAGAAACTATAAGACAAGTAAAATAAATAAATAAAGCATTGTAATCAAGTTATTTTAAATAAATGAGGAAAAAAAAAAAGACACTTAAAATACTGATGATTAAAATAAGAACTGGTATGGATAAGCACACACAATAAACTTTCAAATTTTATTCTGATGTGGATAGTGATACAAAAGAGTGTTTTGTTTGTTTGTTTTCAGAACAACTCCTCACAGCTTTTAAGATTCCTCCACCTGCAGTTAGTATTTCCAAACCTGCAGCACAGACAAGAGTAGGTAAGAAATACTATCAGCATGCACATCAGCAATCTGATGGACAAAATTTTTCAGCACCAATCAAAGTAAAAGTTTGAGTTTTTGCTTGTTTTAAAATTGTAATACTAACATAATCTGAGAGGGAAATACTGTTTCAGAATGACAGGCCATTTTGGCAAAGCACAACTATGTTGTACTGTCATGTCATAATTTAGCCTTCCCCACCCTCTGGCTCATAAAGCAACTGGCAGCTTATTTTGATTCAGATTCTCTGTTTATATCTAAAAATAGCTCCAGCAGTATGAGAACATTACACAATGCATTGTATTAAAAAAAAATTTGACAACACAGCTACAGATAATTGTAACAGAAAGAGAAAATATGAGCAAGGTAAAGCAAAAATGAAGGGAGACACCAGTAATTGACAATACTCTTTGCTATATTAATATGCACAAGCAGGAGTACATGTTGCCATCCAATTTTCTCTGCAGTGAATGCTATGAAAAGCTAGGACAAAGAAAAGCATACCCTGCCTTCAAAAAACGTAGTCATCCTCACCATCAACATCTACCAAGACACAATTCTACTGTGTTTCACAGCCAAGGATAGTTTAAGAAAAAACAGAAAAAAAAGAGAGAAACAACCCAAATACATGCCAGAATCTCTACATTCTTTAGCTTCCTCTAAAAATGAAAGACCTGAGTCACTCATATTCATGGCATCATCTATTTTAAATAACACACATCTCACATGCAAGCATTTATAAAATACTCATCACTGATATGGTCATTGCTCAGTTATAAGTAAATAAATATGCAGGTTGCAGGATGCATGACTGTGCACACACAAAGCAAATCCATCCATTATCTTTTTTTTTTCAGTTTAGAACTATTGCCACATGATCAACATTAAACAGAATCACCAAACCAATCTCAGAGGCAGCTTGAGTCCAGAAGCAGCATGGCCCCTCTAACGGGGAGGCTAAGCTTGCCTTGTGCAAAGCCAGGACCAGAACCCCACAGGCAAAACATGCTCACAATTCTTCTGGATCAAAATTTCCTAAGGTTAAGATCAATGCAATGTGCAGGAAACAACAGGCTATCATGTGGCTTGTTTGTTGTGGTGTTTTTTTTAATTTTTTATTTAAAAAAAGATAAATTCAGTTGTTCTTACCCCTATAGTCACTGAAACTTTTTTTTTTTTTTTAAGTATTTCTTGATTCCTACAGCAAACAAGGATCAGGTTTTCTTCTTAAATTCCAAGGCTTGGTATCAAAGCAGGCCATCACAGTGACCCTCTTGGATGTGGACCCAGGTCCAAATCATCTAAGCTAAGTCAGGTATTCTTGACTGTGCTGACTTTAGGAATACATTTAAGGGGAAAAAATAACATTAAAAAAATGAAATCAGCTGCACAACTGAGGCCTTTTGGGATCTCTGCATGATAAAAACCTAACAAAACCGAACACCCCACCTCTCCCTATCAAATTATCAGGCCATTAGGGAGATCTGTTACCTATTACCTTTCCATCTGGTTTGAACACAACTAACTAGATCATTTTGTGGAATGAATAAATAAATTCTCAACTAAAAATGCAGAAAATTATTCCTTAGAGTTAACGGCTATTATCTGTACTGGAACCACGCTGCTCACTTCACTGTTCTGCTGCCTCAACAGCAGCAAATGTATGTTTTCAAGTTCAAAATAGCAAAGACCTACAGAAATTGATCAAATATATTGTACAAGAATGTGTTGTTTTAAAGACTCCACAGAGAGAGGTAGTTTTGCTGAAAAAGGAGAAATCACTCTTTTCACTTAGCAATGTATTTTCTGTTGCAGACTGCAGTGGAAATGCACCTTCTCCACAGTACGGGCAGTAAGTTGTGACTGACAGCGTAGTAATGTTTCCATGTTACTTATAACTCAGCTCTATCTGCTGGAGAAAATGTATCTGCCCTTTCTTCAGAAAGCTGAAATACCAGCATCCCTCCTTGTCATTCTGCAACATGGCAAAGCTGCAGAAAAGCTGTTTTCACAGAGTGCCAAGCAATTAGTTCAGTACAAGGCATGTGGCTGCGGGGGATGTTCAAGTTGACACTGTGACCAAACAGGTCCATAAAGAGCTTAAGGTAAGAGTTTAAACTGCCTTAAGGATGAAACTAGTTTAGTGTCCACCTTCATTTTACATGCAAGGCAAAGGAAATTCCAAGGTGGTTTTGACACATGCACCCCTGTAAAAAATTACAGTTTCTTTAAAATCTTCCTCTTCAGAGGAAAAAACAAACCAAACCAAAAAAACCAAGAGAACATGTCCTATGTGGAAAGGCTGAGGGAACTGCGGCTGTTTAGTCTGTAGAAGAGGAGGCTGAGGGGAGAACTCATTGCTCTCTGCAGCGACCTGAAAGGAGGTCGCAGAAAGGTGGGAGTTGGCCTCTTCTGTTGAGTAAATATGGTAAGACCAGAGGAAATGGCCTGATGTTGCATCAGGGGAGATTTAGACTAGAAATTAGGAAGCATTTATCTACTGAAAGAGTAGTTAGGCACTGGAACAGGCTGGCCTAGGAGGTGGTGAAGTCACCATCCCTGAAGGCACTCAAGAAACATGGAGATGTGGCACTTCAAGGGATGCTCTAGTGATTATGGTGGGGTTTTTGTGGGTTGTGTGTCATTGTTGGTTTTGTGGGGTATATGGTTGTGTGGCTTTTTTCTGTTATGAGTTGTGTTGCTCCCTTTCCCGCCCACTCTCTGGGTGGACAGTTGGACTAGGTGATCTTAGAGGTCTTTTCCAACCGTGACGATTCTGTGCATATGATCTTCTTTGAACAAATCACCAACTGAAAACTTAGTAGTGTACTAAACTAGATGTTTCCAGCTTGCATTCTTGTCAGTCAAGTGTTAAAGACAAGCACAAAAACTTGTCAGTTCCAGGCTGACAGAATTTTCAGGAATTGTAGGAAAGAGATTAGAGCTGTGTAGCTGCCAAACAGCTCCGACTCATGCCCTGTTATTCTACAGATACACTGCACTGTAAAGTGAAGGCACTGGGGAACAAGCCATCTGATCAAAGTCAAATCATGTGTAACAAAACCACACTAACTGCTATGAAAAAAACACCAAGGGTAAAAACCTAGGAAGTAGATGTAGAACTCATACAGAAAGTTAAAGAGTAATTTAAAAGTTGGAAAGCTCACAGCACAAACACCCTTTATATAGCTGCTGATCTCTTAAACCAACAACAGTAAAAAATTCATTTATTAACTCCTGATTTATGAAGAGGACACTTCAGTAATCATTTACTCTTGAGCACTGTACAGCTGGGATTTCCAGGCGTATTTGCCTTAAAAGGCTGAGAAACTAAGCTAAGCAGGCCACAGAATCAGATAACCACAATGGAAAAGACTTAAAAAACATCAAACATATATTCCCACCAAGAACTACTTTTCTGAAAGTTTCTTACTGCTTTGGCAAATCAAGTTTGAAATAATCAAAAGGACTTCTCAAAGGCATCCCACACAAAGACAGTTACAGCCAATTTTCCAGAATTTTCCTTCCCTTTTATTTCTAATACCTCTCAGGAGAGAGTCAGTATCAGTTTGAACGCTGAATCAACTAAGGTATCCACATGAAAGTTAAGAGACTTGCACCCTGCTGAGAATTTCAGCTGAGGCCTTTACTACATTTGGCAGCACTGCCAGCCTCAAATGATTCTTTGTCTATTGTCTGACTTGTTTTAAAGATGGACTAATCATATGGCAGTCAGAAGACTGCTTTGTATTCAGTAGGTGGAGGACATGAAAAAAGCAATAATGGGAAGCTGAGTGTACCTGCTACACTGTTTTCTTCTGGTCTGCCCTTAATTTCAGGTGACAGGAAAAGAATCACTTCTCTTCTGGCTATTTATCTAGCATCCACAATTAGACAGATTGATGTTAGAAGTCTCACTTGACCAAAAGTTTTGAGTTGTTTGATAAACTTTTTAGTGTGATTTTTTTCTTGTTTGTTTTGCTAGAATAGAGCTATATAGAGAACCTTGCAATTTATGTAATACAAATTTGTGGGAAATTAGAAACCCAAAAAGAACTGCAATTTTTAGCTTTTAAAATCTTCATGTAGTATAATGTAAAAAAAAAAAAAATTCAAGGAAAAGAAATTAGTATCACTTCTCCAATCATACTACTACTACTTAGCACAATTACCTTTGAACAAATATTTGAGTCTCCCAACAACTTCTGACAACTGACCAGTGACAACATACAGTGCTGCCTGCAGACTGCAGGTACTACAAATAAACAGCTTTACTAGATCAGGCCTAGGGTTCACCTAATCCTCAGTTACCTCTTCTCTGACAACAATCATTAGAGACTGCTGAAAGAAGTTCAAACATAAGCAGGCAGTGACACTCTCCCAGCTTCCACATACTTGTACTTCAAGAACTTTCAAAGCTGACCCCTTTTATTCAATAGGCCTGGATTGATTTCTCTTCTGTTCATTTATATCATTGTTCTCTGAACCTATATAAGCTTTTAGCATCCTGTGGCAAGGCAGTCCACAGCTCTAGTAACTACACTGAGATAAGATATTTCTATTTGCTTTGAACCTGCACCTTCTAGAGGGGTGGCAAGTGACCAACCTCAGTTCAGTCTTCATGCTTCTCATGGGCATCATCACATACTCCCTGATTTAACTCTTTTCCAAACTACTGTTTTACAGAAATTTTTTCATATCTATGGTGATCTGCCACACTTCTCTAATCCTCTGGTCTTTCCTCAGCTACTTATTTGCTTTTTGGGAGATAGGGAGATCAGAGATGTACATGACACATTAAAGATGCGGGTGTGCAATGACACAACTCTTTCCTCCATTTTGATCCCTACTCCTTTCTTTAGATTTTTAGCACTCAGACTTTTGGTTTGGTTTGAGCCCTGAGCATTAAAGTTTTTATGGAAACTACTGGATGTTATTTTAGTACTAGAAATCTGGATGTTGCACATCTTCCCAGAAAACAAATAACCAAGTTAAAAAATACAAATTACACAAAACAAAGTTACCATGATATAAATAAGCTACAGAGCCTACTGGAATTCCAGTCTTATCTATACCATGAAATAATTGCATCTTTGTTACTCTAAACATGTTGTATCATGATCCTCATCTACTGTATTTGTTTCCTTTCCCTGGGACACAGAAGTTCAGTCTTACTAAGTGTATGTAAGGATGGATACCCCTGGGGAACAACGGACTAAATAAAGCCCAAGTCAACAAGACTGGTCAGGCATGACTGCACATTAGCAGAGTCTGGCCCATTAGCAGGCTACCAACACAATAAAGCAGCTGGGCAAAAAGGACACAGTAGCAGAAATGGACAAAGGGTCAAGATCTTAATGGAAACTCCTTCTTCACTGTGACACAAAGGTTGTGGCAAAAGTGGAAATGGAACTATTTCTATTTTACTTTTTCCCAAACAACTCTGTAAGGGAAATGCTATCTACCAAATCACCAAATGTTCCTAAATGGAGGAAAAGAACCTGAAGTGACAGGTAATGTGTTTAGACTGTGCTTTCTTCAGTGACTTGAACTTCCTGTGCTACCTAAGCAAAGGTGATACTGTGTTAGAATTTCACACCAGTAGTATAATTGCAAACATTATTCTTAATTATACAGTGGGCTATCATTAGGAATGGCCACACCAAGCTAAGTTAGGGAGGCAAAACACATGTATGCATGCACTTAAAAAGCTTCAGGAAGAAGCAGCACCGAAGAGACATCACATGATGTACTACTTTATTTTGATAAATCAGGAAGTTCTCGTTCCAGTCTTACCCAGCTACCCAGGTATGATCTCCAACAAAAAGATGCCAAGAACTTAAAATGCTCACTATGCCTTTATATTAACATTGCTATTTTTTGATGTAGAGCTTGGCCACTGAAGAGTGGAACACATCACCTGTGTGAATTCTGGAAAAAAATCTGCAATGCTCCCTGTGTCACTTTGTCCATTAACTGATTGGCCTTTCAAGTACAACTTCCCTATGCAAAAACACACAAGGGATAGCAGCTTTTTTTGAAGGTAAGTTTTCTGAGTCCCATTTTCTAGGGCCTGTTTTTGACTTTAGATTTATCCTCCATTCAGCCCCAACTTCATCCATGTCTGTCTTGATTTAAAAAATACATAAATAATTACATTCTTGACTGTATTGCACTGAATAGGTCTGATCCTGCCATCAAAACCCTGCGTGCTGTTTTTATTTGTTGGGAAACAATATAAGATATGTTGGGTATGATGTGCAGCTATTGCTTGCAGAGGCATTAGCTCACAAGCTTCTTTTAATTAGAGAAGCCACCCGACTTAGGCAACAATTTTGTGTGGGCAGTATCGGCTTCATTCCCTCCAAATTAATGTATCACTGCCCTTGCATAACACACGGTAGCACTGAAATTATTGTTCTTTCCATGTCTTAGATCGCTGCTTCTTAACAATACTCTCTGGGAGCTTGCAGATTTTAGCTTGAAGAAGGCCACTAATCTTTCCTTATTTTTAGACTATTAAGTCTGGGCACTGAACACTTCGGCCAGCTACACCAGCACCTGAGATTTGAAGTGTATCTTAAATGGAAAGATTTTTGTGTTGCTCGCTCATTTCATGTGAACATATTCAATAAACAAGTTATAACAGATGGAGTGAGGTAAGTGAAGACTTGTGTCCTCTGCTTCCATACATTCCCCATAATTTCTGCTAAGGAAGACAACTGCATATGTGATATCCAGGTCAGACTTAAGTGTGTGATGATAGCAGAACCAGTGCACAGGCTATTTGGGTAAACAGTGCTGCCGAAGAGATGACAGTTTTGCACATCTTTTTGCAATTGGGGTTATTAATTCATTTTCCTTTCTTCCCAGCTGCCAATATTCACAGCACTTAGGAGGATAATTTTCTTTGAGACTTCTACCCCTTTCAATTCAGCTTAATCTGGACAAAGAATTCAAAATGTATTGCTGTGCAGTCTGTCCATCTCCACTGTAGACCTTATTTGCTTAAAGAAAGAGGCCAAAAAACAGCCCAAAGTCTAATGTACCATTGAATAACACACAGGCATTCAAGCACGCACAAAAATTCAGTATTAATACACCCCATCCCTCTTTAAATACACACCAAAACATACCGTTTTTTCCTCATTTTCAAAAGCTTCTCTTGCTTCTTCATAGTTACATATTTCTTCTCTGCATTCATGTTCTATGTCACCTTGCTTTAATTCTTCCAGAAATGTGTTAGCTCTCGGGTATCTTTTTAACACAGAATTGGCTTTGTCCTCTGTTAAGAACACTGAAATAAGAGGAGAGACAACAAAGGTCACTTCTAGAATAGATACGTAAAACCGCATGCTAAAATCGCTCAAAGAAAATGTGCTTTGGAGAAACAAAGAGCTTTTTCAAAGTCCCCTTTATTTAATATCATAAAGTGTCTTTTCTAGTTTTATTCACTATGGCCCAGTAAGTAGTTGGGCCTACAGTTTCAGTAGTTATTGCTATAATGTCATAACTGCAAAGGACCTCAATTCAGCATCAGAGTCATGTATGCTTACATATGATTGAAGCTGGAGCCTAACAAGAGTGCTCAGAAGAGAGAAGCACGTGCTCAGCTCAAGTGACTTCTTAAACTAAGATAACACAGAACAAACACATCCTGCTTGTGACCATCCAAAAATATGTTTGCAACTCCCTGGGGGCATCACAGCCAAAATGCTCTGAAGTTTGACATAAATATTTCTAAATATTACCCAGTCATACACACCAGATCAGCCACATTCACCAAAGTTTACATCTTTAAGTTTTCTTAAGCAACTTGAAGAGCAGATTTACTCCCTTCACTCCAGAAATCTCAACCATGAAATAGTGACCCTTTTGGAGGCATGGGAGAAAGTAGTCTCTTTCCATTTTCTTGACTCATACACAAAACCTCACCTTATTTGATGAATCAAATAAAGCAACCATAAAAGGCAACCAATGTTCTGACACAGGTATTTGCTTCCCTTAGTTTTCTGTTCAAGGAAGAGAGCTGGAACCAACCTCTTTTCTTCTAATATTCTAGCTTTTCCTCAAACTCCCTGAGCACAATGATTTTTACCATAATATCCAGCAACTGGAACACTCCAAACCCCAGCAGACTGAACTACCCAGGAGGTATGTCTGCAGTGAATGATGCAGAAATTCTCCAGGTATTTCAGGTCAGGAAGCAAGAATATCCTGTCAGTGCAACACTGTTTTTGGGCTCTCACTGCCAGTAAGGGGGGCTAATTAGTCAATGAACTGCCATACTAACACACTCATACTACTTTTCCTGACCTGCGCAATTATTTCTGCATTGGTTCATTTATAGCTAGTCTGGGACTGCCATTATGCTTTGAAGACAAACTCTCACTGGCTGCTGAAGGACAGAGATGGACTGGTTTAAGCAGTGATTTACCTATAATTTTATAGGAATCAGTTTGCTGTGTTGTTTTTTTTTCCTTTATCATCTGATTTCAAATTCTTAAAAAGGATGGCAGCAAATCCATAAGGAAAGTCACTGTACCTTTGCTTTCTTGTAAGATAGATGTGGTATCATTTTTCAACTACCATAAGTAGGCTGATGCACTTTAATTTCATTTTGTTTAGTCTCTGTAGTATATTTTATTACAAATCATTAGACAGTCATCTTTTGCAAAGGCTTAAATGAAGATTTGAAGATTAAACTCCAAAACATCAGTCAATCCTATACTTTCATTTGAACATGTGGTAATGTCCTGGTTTGAGTCAGGATGAAGCAATTTTACTATTTTTTTTTCCTTCAGTAACCTCTCTTTTAACTAGTAGTAAGGTACATGTACCACACAAACTGCACTATTCATGAAGTTGCCGGAAGTTGAGAGTATACAACTCTACAACTGCACCTACCACAATTCTGGTTTTCTAAAGCACTGCAGATGAGTACATAGGCATGTTCTATTGTCTAAGTTCACTGACTAAATAACACAGACATTAATATTAAAAAATATCTTAAAAAAAAAAAAAAGGATGGCTTCTTTCTATTTCCCACACAATTCTCCTAGTTCCTCTCTCCCCTGTAGGCTTGAAGAACTTGGTTTCTTTCCACATGCCTCAGTGATCACCTAAATGTGACGAGATGAAGGACTTGTCTACATCAGGAAGCCAGCACACAGCCATGGATGGGGATGGATGGCCAGTGCTCTACCTATTTCTCATCAACTCCTCCTGTGGGCAATTCCTGAAACAGAACTCAAAAGTATGCCCATATCTGGAGTCACTGAAGGGTATATAATGCACTATAAATCAAGTTTCCCTTTCTTCAGAAGATAAAACCTAGGGAATTTCATTTCACAGATGGAATCTGTCCTTGAAAAGAGTAATGAGAGAAACTACAACAGCTTTGTAATGGATGCAGAAGTAAAAAAACAAGTGGCAAACAGAGGTAGCTGAAGACACTCTGATTTAAAGCTTACACTTCTCAGAAATAATCTAAAAATCTTTATTTATGCATGTACTTTTCCAATTTATCAAAAAAAACCCCTGAGAATAAAGGCTTGATAGCTGGTATGTTAGGAAACATTACGTTCGCTACATATTGGGATGAGTTTCTAGGTATTAATTTAGTTTTCCAAAAAGATCTAAGTCTACATTTGTTTCAAAATGCATTGACAAAGAACAGCCAAGTATTAAAATAGTTGAATATTCAAGAATGGCAAATACATGACTGTCTAAGAAACCCAGCATTTTTATTTAGCAATTCATATTCAGCAAGTATCTCTCTTCTCTCACAACACAGTATAGAAAATGCATGCATCACAGAGACCAAAAGATCCACTGAGGAAAATAAACCACATCCTATATAAATTCAGAATGTATCTGATTAAAGGATGATCTATAATTAGTACAGACCAGAACTGGCTTTTGACCCTGAAAGGCTGGAAAAAATGAAGTATATTAACTTGTTTGTTTTGATTTGACATTTTTAAAGCTCTGCACACTCCTAGTGACTTTAAATCCTACTGAGAAGTCTATACAAATATGGAAGAAAACATAAAAGCATGCACTGATCAAAGCAATCTTGATGAAGATACTGACTGAAATACAGTGATTTAATGAGAATCAGTCACTGCTTGATAGATCCTATAAAAAGAAATAATGGAACCATACTGCAGAAAACACTGTGACTTCTTAGTATTCCAGGACCATCACCATGTAATGTAGACATAGTTACAATTGCATAGGAGTGTGTTGAAACACCCCTTTCGGTTGGATACCCACCTAGCCAAGCTACAGTGTGGCTGAATTTACTGCAGTTGCTACTATGCAGCTGAAGATGATCAGGGAAGAATTGCATGTAGCAAGAAAAAAGTAATGAAGCAAAATAAAATGTAATTTTGCATTTATTAAGGAGATTGAGTATGAAATACAAGATAAAGGAAAAATAAAAATTATTATTTTGGCATTAAGATAGACACAGAAACAATCTAAAGTCTCTTCCTCTACCTCAATTTTTGTTGAATATAGCTGATGATACACAACTTCCAAACCTAATGCATTGGAATACATGTTTATTTCTTCAAACATGCTTATACTCTCTTTGTAACCGTAAAACTTGGCATTTGCCAGGTTCTAAGGCATCAGAAAGCTACAAAAAAATCCAAAGTCTTAGTTTGACGTGGTGTTATTGAAGAGAGAAATACAGTCAGATCTATCTATTATATATTCTCAGGAAAACCAGTGTGCTTTCATAACAGTGAATAGATACTCTAGCAAAATGAAATTCAATCAGAATCAGAAAGAGACAGACAAGGACATGAGAAGATAAATACATCCCAGCCTGCCAGCTGAAGCTGTCACAGGCAAAGAAAACAGGCTTCAGGTCTTTAATGACAGAAGGAACAGGGAGTAGCAGCGTGGGAGAAGTACTGTGAGATACAGGTGTTGCTGAAGCAAGGCCCAGGGCATCCTGGACATCAAAACCAGATTTATTGAGACCATTATTGAGGCTTCCTTTTTCTGACTCCTTGCTAACACCCAAGCAGATTGAAACCACCACTAAACACTAGAAGAAAACGTTTAATTTTCAATTTGAAGCTGCAGTTACAGATAAATTTGAATTTTTCTGCAGATGATCTTCAAAAAACTATCTGGTTTGCAAAGGGGAGAGGGAGAAAAATTATTTGAGCATTTACTTTTAAAGCTGAAATGTGACCTCTGCTCTGAGATTTTGGAGTTACTGCGACAAGCATAACAACAGGTAAACTTAAGTATTCAAGGCTGGAAATTCAGCTCTGTGGCTTCATTCTGCAGCCAGCCTTCAAAGGGCCACAAATGAGTTTATGATAATTATTATGATCTGCATATAATATCTCTGTCAGAAGTCTGATTCCAGTTAAGTTTAGTGCAGGCAAAGATCTGCATCATATGTAGTATCAAAACCAGCTCAAGAGCATAGGACATGTTTTGTGCAAATTAACTGGGATTTTGAGCAGAGAACAGTTTTGGGGGTCTGCCCACATCATAGGGAATAATAAAGAATGCACACATACTAAATTATCAAACTTACCACTATCCATGATGACTACTGTCAAGGCAGGGAACTTGCAAATATCACGTCTGTAAACAAAGGAGGAAACATCCTGTTAAGTTTGTGAATTTTAATGAACTTGGAAAAGTTTGATTCCCAAATATTGTTACAATTATATCAGTGTTGGAAACACTGTAGTCAAGATTAATCCCTCCTCAATTGCACCACTGCTGTATACAGACTTATTTTAGTAGTACAGCGATACTATCCAAGAATATAACTCTTGTGAAATTGTGAATGCTTTAACCTCTTTAGAAGTTTTCCATATTTGGAATATGCAAAAATAATAATATGGAATAGGAGGTATCTTTTTTAACGAATCTGCAACCTTTTGCTTCACCTAACTGCACCCCAAAGATATTACCTTCACTGGAACTATTTATATCATATCTAAGACTTAAATTCAAGTCAACTCATTATCTTTAATATATGAATCAGATGTTTTTAAATCAGCATGAACACATGTAAATTCATTCAGAGTCTGCTGCTGATTAAAACAGAAGGCCTGCATAAAGTTCAGGTGCAAAACAAGACCCGCAATTTGGCAAAGGAACTTGCAATACAACTTGCACCACAAGAACTTACATGTTCTTTATATCTCATGCTGGAAGGAGAACAGACAAGAGATGCTCTCACTCAAGGAATTGCCTAAAGCTCATTGCATGCACCCACCAGGCCAACAGCCAACAAGAACTGCGTCTGAAGGCAGCAACAGCAGTCTGAGTTTTCAGTTTCCTGGAGTCTTTGTTAATATGGAAAAAGTTAGGAAAACAAAAACTTTCAGCAAAGTACAAGTGCAGCTGTCTAACCAAGTTGGTAGAACAACATGAGCTCAAAGGTTTTTTTTTAAACTAATAAACTACCTACTCCGAAAGGTCAGCATTAGTTCTACCTCAGAGGCCAGGTTACATATCAACATATCATACCATACTAATGTCCTCACTCTCTCCATAAAACCAAAACCTCACAAGCGAACTTCTCCATAAAAAAGTGACAACTATGCACAAAGGTTGACGATAGCTGCTGTAATAAAAAAGGGAAAGTTAAGATTTCCAGTGTGGCTCCACCAATGCTGCAATTCATCATGCAAGAGCAGGCTGCAGTTCTTCTAAGGACTGTGGATGAAAGGAATGGGGCTCTATAAAGACATCCCAGTCTGCAAACAAAATCGTAGGAGTGGGTCTAAGAGATATGGAGGATGGAGGAGTAAACTGATTTTAAAGGAAGTTCATAACATCTCTTTAAAGGCAAATAAATGTGAATGAACAGCAGAGATTAAATCAGTCTTAATCTCCCCACTATAGTGTTCAGCTTTCTCATTACTAAGTATTGCAGGGTAACAGAAGCAGAGGGCTTAAAAAAAATATTTAGGATATATATAACCCCTTTTAATATCCTAAATTTTTCTTAGCAGACTATTCTCTGCAAATTAAAAATGGCCTTTGCTACTTGCTTCTTGAATAAAACTAAAATTAGTTTTGTTTTCTGAATATCCCACTGTTACAACCCAAATACCTGTGCTGAAGAAATTGCCAAGCTTTTAATAATAAACAGGTCATAATAAAAAAATGGTTATTGGTATGAGTTGTTCCCCTCATCCATTACATCAAGAGTTTATTTTGCCATTTATTAGCCTGCAGTTTCAGGTGGCTGCTTTTGCAACAGCCCCTCAAATAGGATTCACAGCAATAGAAGATAAAGACCCTTAAGTGCTCACTCACACTGTTAAGCTGCAGTAACATAGTGCACAAAATGCACCTTGCCAGGCTTCCCCTCTGTAGTGGAGGTATTTAGGTATTTTTCTGCATTAAATTTCAGTTAGTCTTTAATGCTTCATCCTTTTAACAAATAACTTGGGGTGGGTTTCAACAAAGTTAAAAAAAAAACAACAAACAAAGGCATAAAAAATACATGCATCCACATCCACACTCACTGAGTCACAATCAGCTCTGCCTACTGTGAACTTCAGCAGAAACAAGGGGACTAATGTGCCTCACCTCTGTTAAAGGACATTTTACACCTGGAGCAAAGTGTGAGATTGCCTAGGCGTGCAGTTCTGCCCTTGCACCTGGCACTAGCTGCTTGGTACATCATGATCTTTAGGAATGAACTTCAGAATACTGACATACACAGATGGGGAATCGGTGAAAACGTGGAGGAGAAGAAAACAGAATCACAAAAGAAGAAATACCTTTTATTTTCTTTAGTGGAATTTGATGCAAGTATATTATGAGCTAGGGATAAAACAGAGATTTGCTAAACTGGCAGAAAACCACAAATTATGTTTACTTCTACCCTTCCTTCATTACAAAATGAACTGGTGTGCCCCTCTCCAGGAAATATACAGCTTTCCAGTGAATGCAGTACAGAAATTTCCCTTCAACAATCTACATTAGATTCTTACAGCAATTACAAGTATTTGGAGCTCTCTGATATTAATTATGTGCATTTTCCTTAAAAAAAGTGTCTCTTATTATGCTCACTTGCCTTCCCCTTCCGCATGTCCCCAAACGACTTCATTTCTAAGCTCCCACAAAACATGTCTAGTTTCCTGCAATGACACCCAAATACTGGCTGGACAACAGGCTCATTGAGGACAGAGGCCACGGCTGCCCTGCTGCTACATGGACGTGACACTCACAGAAAGAACTCTCCCACTGCAGAGGTACCACTTGGGTCTTTGCTCCCTACTTAACACTTCTTTTCTAGTCTCCAGCCACAAATGAGGTGCAACACAACAACTGAAACACTTCTGTAGGAGGTTTTTTTTTAAAAAAAAATTAAAACATTAAATAATTACACTGGAAGACAGGAAATTATCATCTGACTTCCACTTATTCAAAATGTGTTATGGGCCTAAAAATCCCAGTTCCACCACATTTGGCTTTTACATCATTGGATAAAAATATTACAGAAGACTACAATTTTACTTAATAACAATCAATTTCAAAATAACTTTCTCCAGGAAAAATGCACACAAAGATTTACATGGATTCGAACATGGGAGAAATACATTGATTTTTCTCTGAACAGGAAGTCTGTGATTTAAGGATATGGGAGAAGCCTGCATTTATTAAATTTAATTTGCAACAGCAAGGTTAGCCAGGGGATTTGGGTGAGAAAAAAGAGGGATGGAAAACTCTGGAAACTGCTCAAACAAAGATACGAAAGACTTGTCCCACCCAAGACCACAAAGAACGAGTGAAAAAGAGAACTGAAAAAATAAAACCTTCTTCTTTGTAGATACTATCCAAACACAGCATTTAAAACATTATCATTAATGTTGATTACATAGGGACCCCAAACCACAGACCAGATCACTAAGAGAAACCTGTACTTAGCGGACTGCCATTAAGACTTAAAACAAATAAAACACATCATCACTCACAGAACTAGCATGCTGAGTACAACTCAAACACCACCCTGTTAGCAGAGAGAAGTTAGTTCCTCATGACAGCAGCTGGACAGGACTTCAGCAGGCTGAGACTGAACTCTAAGCTTCTGCCTCAACTTTATTACACCTGCTTTAAAGTTACTGGTTTTTTGTTGTTCTGAAGCTGTGTCAATATTCTGGCTGGTTACATCCAGGTTCCTCCAGTTCAAAGGGGGAGTTCCTGTAAGCTGCAACTTCCTTCCCCTCCCCTTGAAAACTGGACAGGAACTATCTTCTGATATACACATTTTGTTGAGTAGGTCATCTAGGAGAAGTAACTAACACTCTCCCTTTGGCAAGGGACAATTCTGGTGGGTTTCATTGTTTTCAAGTGTGTAGGGA